CCTTCCTGGCAGAGGATCAAACTAGCAGGCAATGGCTGTGGATAGCTTCGTAGTGCTGTGTTTTAACCCCTTGCACCACCAGGGAAGTCCCCCATTACTAAATTTAACAAGTAAACCACCATTCCTTGCCTGACTGGCAGGGTTGGGAGGCTTAAATGGATTAAGGGAATGAATAGGACTGCCCTGGAAAACTTAGGCCATTAAGCTGACTATCCCTTAATTTGATGATCCATTATGCAAATTCAAATCATTAATTGTGACTCAACTGAGTCTAACCACATTAACCAAACCATGAATATAAATATCTCCTCAGGACCCTCACTGAAAGCAACAAATCTCCCCTGGCTTGCCAGCTGCTTCCCTTAGCAGTATATTTCAATAAATCTACCTTTTCTGTTCTCCACTGTCTCTAGTGAATTGTTTCACCCTCACACCTCCCAGCTATGGTCTCTTATCCTGCTCGATCAGCTTTATTTGTCAATGGATTATAACCTGAGATTGTTACAAATCCCCAAAATTCTGTGGGACTGAATTATCTGCTAAAACAGATCCACTAGAGTTTGAGGTGAAACAGCAAAGGTTTTTTTGTTTGTTTGTTTGTTTGTTTTTCTTGTAAAGGAACCAACATTGGAAAGAACTCGCTTTGCTTCTTGAGGGAACTGGAAGGAGATAATTAAAGGGTAGGGTCCATGAGATAAGGTGGAGGAGAACAGCACCATAGCTTGTTTGGGGTTGGGTTATGCCTGGGGCATGTGCAGACTGGTTATATCCCAACTGTCATGTAGGTTCTCAGACTTCTCCCTTCTGACAATCATTAGTCAGAATCTAACCCTTTTTGTCTAGCATGGTACACATGGATCCTCTGGTGAGTCAATTATTGGACAACATATTAGGTTAGTGTTATGGTACTATTTAACAAGGTTAAAAACTAAATTGCCCTACTCCTTACCGAGCAGGCAGGTTTGGGAAGCTTGAAAAGATAAGGCCAATATAAAGGGTTCCTACAGTAGGAACTGGACCATAACACAGACCACCATGACAAGAAAAAACAGCCCAGGTCCCGGAATGCAGGAACGGGGCCAGGATGCATTCTGTGTTAAAGGTCAGTGCCCAAGATCAGATATCCCTGCATTTAACTGTTGCAAACTTGTGCCCCAAGTAAGAAAGACAACAAAACAGTGTAAAAGAGAACCTCAAATCTGCCCTCCCAAGGAGACATCTCTGGTATTTCCTCCTGTCTCTGGCAGAGTAGGTAAATAAATCCACCTTTTCTATTCTCCATGTTGTCTCTAGTGCATTCCTTCACCCCCACAACTCTGGCCCTCAACCCACTATTAGACTGCTACATGTAGAGGCTAACAGTCCTTGATTTAGTCTCTCTGTTCAAATAGGTAGCAGAGCAACTCAGCCTAGCTCAGCCTTGATTCAATTCCTTTGTTCATAGGACATAAGGGAACTCTTATCCTATCAGGTTCAAATTTTATTTTACCTAGAAAATAGGAATGGAGAAAAGGAGCCTGACTGAAATCTGACTAAGATGAGCATTTTTAAAACACCCTGAAGCAAACATCATAAACAAAAAGTCATCAAGCAATTCAAAATTGGGCTGTTAAAAATAGAAAAACAGAAAACCAAACAGAATCATTCATGATGGATCTCCACCCAGACTTAATACCTAATTTCATTGTAATTTCAGCCTCTCCCAAAAGTATAATCCTAAACCAATTGTTCTAGAATTTCCAAATCACTGCCAGTCAGGTAATCTGTATAAGATTGCTCTGCTTTCCTGTGAAGGTGGTCTTACCTGAAATACTCTTTTGGGGCCCTTATCCCACTCTTTTTGTCTTTATAAATTCTTCATTTTGTAGAAATACTCCTTTGCAATAATTATACGGGAAGCTGCTAGATTCTGTTAATCATTTCATGAAAAAAAAATAGATCTCTATACTTGCAAATTGTTTTTTGTTTTCAGTTTTCATTAGAACTGAGGCTCCTAAAGGTTAATAAATCTATTAAATGTATCAAATTAAAGTTGCTAGAAACCTGGCAAAAGAAAGAAAATTTGTTCTAAAGTGAAGCTGGTTTTTTAAAGGCACAGGCAAATCCTGAATATAGCAAGGGAAGTTATACATTTGTGAAAGTAGAATCTTAGGAAAGAAATTTTGGCACGTAATCAAGCTAGGTAAATTTAATAAATTTGCTTTAAAAAATAAATTTTGGCCCTCCCTAGTGGCTTAAAGGGTTAAGTCTCAGCCCTATTAAGCTATCAGCAGCCACTGCAGCACCTGTTGAAGCCCTGGCCAGAAAGGTGACCCACATGGCACAGCAGACCTCTCCTTCTTGTCCTCTACTCTCAGTATTGTATTTCAATAGATACGACTATTTTGCTTACACTTTCTCTGGTGAGTCCTCTCACCTCCTCACACCTCTGACTTGGACCCCAGGTCTTGTACACAAAAATAAAAAGAAATCTTTTAAAAAGTAATAATATCAATGGTTTACTTATATAACTAAAACCCTCAATTTTCTTTCATCTGTTAAATGGATAAAGTTGTCTGCTCTGGATAAGAGATTGTGAACGATTTTTTCTCCCGTTAAGTAGTGACCTAGAAAACAAGAATGTTGTGTGTAATCAAGATAATATCCTGTGTGTTGTGTCATTTTAAAAAAAAAAATCTTTATTTTTTTTAAAGATTTATTTATTTAAAGATTTGATTTAAAGATTTGTTTATGCCTACAGAACTGGGGTACAGGCCAGAGTTGTGGGAGGTGAAGGATTCACCAGAGACAGAGTGGGTAGTAAAAAAGGCAGATGGACTGAAATATACTGCTGAGGGGAGCAGCAGGGAGGTCAGGAGAGGTCTGCTGTCCCAAGTGGGTTAGCTCCTTAGTCCAGAGACTTACCTCATGCAACAGTGATTGAGATTAGCTTCATAGTGCTTTAACCACTTGTGCCACCAGGGTGGACCCTTCTTTCTCTCTATTAAAAAAACCCCATCTTGGGGGATCCTTGGTAATGCAAGGGACTCAAGTCTCAGCACTTTGTAGCAAGTTTGATCCCCTGCCAGGAGCTGAACCACATGGTGCAGCAGTTCCCTGTTGTCGTGCCCACTGCTCCCCTCAGCAGTCTATTTCAGTTAGTCTGCCTGTTCTGTTCCCCACTTGGTCTCTGCTGAATCCTCTCACCCCAAACTAGGTATTCTGACTTGTACCCCAGCTCTTATATACATAAATAAGTAAAATAAACCCTAAAAAATATCCACAGTCCCATCTTGTGTTACTGTGTTAAGGGGAAGGATGTCCTAAAGGAACTCTGCAGAGTTTTGTGCACTCTACCCACTCCAGCTTTCTGGACTCTACCCCCTACTCCAGTGATTGGAAACTACAACTCTCAGCAGTACCAAGGAGAGAACTGAAAGGATCCAAGGACGGAGCTAAGCAGGCATTCTGGGACTTTGGGGGATATTATCCAGTGGTGCTCTCTCACTCAGGCAACGCTCTCGGGACCAGTGACTGGGGGCTATCAGTTAGTTATTAGAGCTCCAAGTCAGCCTAGCCAGTATGATATTCTAGTTACCTTGTATCTCTCTCTTTCCCTGGGTTGCTCCTTTTCCTTTCCCCTTTTGTAAATAAACCCATTATTGACCCTTTTGTGTGTGCCTGCAGTAAATTTTAAGCATGCAGGTGAGGACCCAGACAGGCAGCCCAGTTCACACTGGGCTGCACTGTAACAATTGTAGTATCCAGAGTTGCCCCATTCATAAATGATTTAATAAAGCCTATCAGATCTCTAAATTTGTGAATTTTAATATTTGTGATTTTCACTCTCCTTTCAGTTTAGTGTCAGATGTCAATCAAATGTTTTCAGTCACAAATTAATATAAAGAATCACAATGTTAGAGGCAACTACATTAGAAAACTGGCCAGTGACAAAAGAAAAAGAATAAAGATAGTTCAGAATTGTAATAAAGTGATCATATGTTGGTCCCTATGAGCTGGCTACTAGCTGGCCACTTGTGGGCAACTGTGACCCATTTGCTATCTATAAGTCACAGCAGCACATTCCTTTACTACCTATGGAGTATAGCTCATTTCACGAAGCAGACCCAGAGACCCCTAAGCTACTGCAACCTAATAATCCACAGTGAACTATCTCTAAGATGGTCTCAGGATAACCCCGCCCTGTGATAATATCAAATACTTTGTTGTGATGCAAATGTCTCTTGACATATGGTCACGATGTCCCCTTCCCTGTCCCTCATAAAACTTTGTCCCCCATTTCAATCCCAACCTCTGTACGCCTTTTTTTTTTTTTTTTTTTTTGTGGTGGTGGAATCCGTATGCCTTTAATAAATGCCACAAGAACTTTGGCTCAAGTACCAGTCTTGCCTTGCAAACCTGTTCCATGACTGCTATGTCCTTCATTGTATTCTTATTGCCAAGAGGCAACAAAGTTCCTGTTGGAACAATCATATAGTAAACCACAATACAGAACTACAGTAATTCTAGAACCCGATTGGACTTTAAAAATCATATAATCTAACCATCACATTTTAGAAATGAGAAAACTGAGCCCTAGACTTGGCAGGTGACTTGCCCAAGGCCACACAGAGAATTTTCCATCAAGTTAAAACTATAACACAGGGGCCCTCCCTGGTGGCGCAGCGGGTTAAAGCGCAGCACTAAGAAACTAAAGCCACTTCCGCATGAGTTGGGTCCTGCCTGCCCTGGAGGTGACCACATGGTGCGGCAGACCTCTCCTGACAGGCCCGCTGCTCCCCTCAGCAGTGTACTTCATCGATCTGCCTGTTCTGCTCCCCGCTCTGTCTCTGGTGAATCCTCTCACCCTCCACATCTCTGGCCTGTACCCAGTTCTGTATGAATAAATAAATAAATCTTTAAAAAAAAAAACAACTATAACACAGGTTTACTCTTAGGTCAATATTAAGTATATCAAATGAAAGCTGGAAAAATAGGACACTTCTCACACATCTACAGAAATAAAACTTTATTTTATAACATTCCTGTTCTTTTTTAGGATGCATACAGTACTTATAGCCCAAGAATTCTGAGAAAATCTATAGAAGACCTGGCACTATTTGAGAATTACACAACTGGGCAGCAAAATAATACCTTTATAAATGTCAGGACATATGGAAATAAAATTTAGTATTTGCACAAAAAAATAGGGAAGTTACATTCAATACGTTTTGTGAACTGCACATTTAAAATGTTTAAATGTATTCTAAAACTTTGGTCATCATGCTTTATTATAATTTGTTGAATTTCACAATTATGTAGATGATTAAACCCAAATAGTAAGCAAATATATCACATTAACACAGCAGCAAAAGCAAGCTAATACTGCACGATATTAGCAAACTGATTTTAGAAACACATGTTTTTCAAAAATAGCACACAAAACTTAGTTTGTGATAACATAGTTCAATGACTTATCTTCCATTTCATAAAATAAGGTTAAGTAATGAGACATAGCAGAACATGATTACATAATAAAAAGTATATTTTTAATTACAAATCTAATTGTACATATACGGCAACAAATTGTAGTTTCTATAGAATAGTGCAAATGAGCAGGACTTTTTTCCAAAACATTAAATTGGATTCATTCAATGTGCCTCAAGATTTCATGAATATTAGGTTACATTATTTACTTTAGGTTTGTGTGTGATGGGTACAAGTGATGAGGCAAATGTGTACTTTTAAGCTGCAACTAAAAATAGCCATTGACTTAATTTACTGGATGAGAAGTGCAGGCACTGAAAATGTAACTTTAAAAGTTCCATTTGTTATCATGTAAACAGTTTTGTTCACCATACCATATTTCATTAAAGTTTCATAATTCCTTCACATTGTGACATCAAGTAATTCCTCTAAACTTTTTTTGATATGTGGTGGTTGACATGCAGCCTGAATTAATAGATTCTGACCCATTTGTGCAAAAAGTGCTTTTGATAATTTAGCTGTGGCTGTTCGTATATTTCCTCCAGCTCCAGGTAGAGAGCCACTATTTGTCATGTTCCCTAAGAGATGCCATAAAACAACCAACACTTTCTGTTCTGTGGCATGGGGCTTCCTTTGATAAAGTTCCATAACAATATCTGAAACACAAAAATATGACAGTGAATTTTTTTATGAAAATAAATACACATTCTGTTAATTGAGAAGCATATCAAATATTTTAAGATTCTATATGCCATCTGTCCTTAAATGCTAAGCTTTTTTTTTTTAATATTACGCATTTTTAAAATAATCAGAAATTTTTCACCCCAAGATTGGGATGTTGAAGCACTAGAATCCCATATATTATTGTTACAGGGCACCCCAGTGTGAACTGGGCTGTCTGTCTGTGAGTGGTCATTCTCGGCTTATAATTTAGTTGCACTGCAGGCACATACAAAAGGGTCAATAATGGGCTTATTTACAAAAGGGGAAAGGAAAAGGTACAACCCAGGGAAAAAGAGAGAGATCAAGGTAACTAGAATATCTTACTGGCTCTGCTGACTTGCAGCTCTAATAACAAACTAACTGATAGCTCCCAGCCACGTGGTCGGTGCCCAGAGCCCCGGCAGAGAGACCTTTGGACAAAATGGCTCCCGATTTATCCCCCAAAGTCCCAGAATGCCTGCTTAACTCTACCCTTGGGTCCTCACAGTTTCCTCCTTGGTACTGCTGGGAGTTGTAGATTCCAATCACTGGAGTATGGGCTAGAGTCCAGAAAGCTGGAGTAGGGGGTGGAGTTCATAAAACTCTGCAGAGTTCCTTTAGGACATCCTTCCCTTAGCATTATAATTAATTCAGGTAAAGGTAGTAAAGATAGGAATCAACCCAAAATTTACCTCACTGTTTAATACATGCAGTTAAATAGAAATTTACACACTTTTAAAAAAAAGCCCACCAAGCATCTAATTTGAAACAGCAGTTTTTATGAACACAATATTTGATTTTAATGTCATTTTATTTATCCTGTTTATTGCTACTAACAGAAAGACAAAACCCTGGATTAAAAAAGGACAAAACAAAACTATTTTGAAGAAAAATTTTGGGTAAAAATTAAAAGGTTTCTCATGCAGCAGTATACAATTTATTACTACTTCAAGGATAATCATACTTAATTCAGTAGCTTACCTAAAATTAAATCTAAATGCCCACCACTTGATACTTGGTTAACATTTCTTTAGAAATAATAATTTAAAAATATTTACCAGCAAGCTTTTCGGTCATATCTTGTTTTGCTTTTCCATTTAAAAACTGAGCTTTTGTACAAAATGGCTGTAGAAGTAAATAATTGTCTAAACAAAAGGAACAAAACAAAAACGTGTGTTTAAAGAGTTTCAAGATTTTAATTATTTTCTATTTAACACTGAATGGAAAAATGTGCAAATAAATGCAAATGTGCTAAAATTTTTAATTTTTAAAAAAGATTTATTTATGCACACAGAGCTGGGGTACAGGCCAGAGGTGCAGGGGTGGTGGGAGGACTCACCAGAGAAAAAGCAGGGAGCAGAACAGGCAGACTGACGAAGTACACTGCTAAGGGAAGCAGTGGGCAAGACTACAGAGGTCTGCTGAACCACAAAATCACCTCCAGGATCGGGTATCTAACTAGCACTGAAGTGGCTGCTGCAAGCTTGCAGTGCTGAGTCCTAACCCACTGCGCCACCAGGGAGGGCCATAATCATATTTTTTATCATTATTTAAAATTCTCTATAAAGCCTACCAGAGTATTTTCTTTTTCAGAGTACTATTCTTATAGAAAATGAGAAATAAAAGTACCTCATAGACTATTAGAGAAGATATCAGAAGTGTAATAAAGAAGAACTGTTTATCTCCTAGGTATCTTGGTTCAAATATTTTATAGGTTTATTAAAAAATAGAAAATTTACTTTTTTGGGGTAGTTTTTATCTTTGTTGACTTTTTTCAAAGTTTTAATTTTGAAATATAAGTTCACAGTAAGTTGCAAAGATAGTAAAGATATATCCTGTGTAACTCATCCAAAGGTTACATTTTATGTAACTACAGTACAATATCAAAAAAAAAGGAAACTGAAGTTGATACAATATGTATATATAGTTCTACTTCATCACATGTGGAGATTTATATGACTATTGCTGTAATTAAAACAGAACTAGTCTGTCACCAGAAAGAACTTCCAAGTGTAACAATCTTCTTAGTTATAGATAAGACTTGGCCTTCCCTAAACTTTTGACAACCAATAATGTTTTTGTGTAATTTTGCTTTAAATTTGTTTTTCTGTAGTTCTGTCAAATTTATTTCTCTGTAATTTTGTCACATTAAGGTTATACAAATGGAATCCTGTAGAATGTGATTCCATTTTGGGTGCTGGCTTTTTTCACTCAGTGTAATAACCTAGAGATACAAATTTTTATGTGTAACAGCAGTTCATTTATTTTCATTGCTAAGGGGGTATGGATGTATGACCTTTAAACAGGGAATTGTGCCTTGTTGTTTCCAGGTTTTGGTTATCACAAACAAAGCAACTACGAACAATTGTACATGCTTTTATGGTACCAATGTTTAGGAATGCATTGGATAAATTATCTGGCAAGTATATGTTTAGGTTTTTAAGAAATAGCCAAAACATTTTCTAGAGTGGCTAAACCATTTTATTTACATTGTTATCAGAAATGTATGAGAGATACAGCTTCTCTGAAACGTTGTTAGCATTTAGTGTAAATTATTCTTACATTTGACATAGCCTGAATGTTTATATGCCCCTCCAAAACTGATAGGCTGCAACCCAACTCCCAATATAAAGGCATGGGAAGTGATCAGGTCACCTCCCTTTCAAATGGGATTAGTGCCCTTATAACAGAAGTCTCAGAGAATCCCTTTGCTCCTTTCACCTTGTGAGAACACGGCAGAAGATGGCAATCATGAACCAAAAAGTAAGCCCTTGCTAGACACTGATGCTGCTGGTGCCTTTTTCTTGAACTTACCAGTTTCAAGAACTGTGAGAAATAAATGTTTGTCATTTTTAAACCGTCATTGTATGCAGTTTGTTTTAGCAACCTGCACCGGCTAAGACATTTTCTTATAGATTTATTTTTATTTATTCATGCATACAAGAACTGGGGTATAAGCCAGAGATGTGGCGGTGTGTGTGTGTGTGAGAGTATTCATCTGAGACAGAGCAGGGAGAAAAGCAGGAAACTTTAATGAAATACACTGCTGAGGGAAGTATTGGGTGAGACAGGAGAGGTCTGCTGCGTCATGTGTGTCAGCTCCCTGGCCTGGGATTAAACTCATGACTTATGGTGGTAGCCTGACAGAGCTGAGACTTTAACCCCTGAGCCACCAAGGAGGCCCCAGACGAAGACATTTTTTATAGTAATCATTTACTCAGTTTGCATTTTCATTTCTCTAAAAGCTAGTGATTTATTGTACATTTTTTCATGTAGTTGTCATCCATAAATATACTTTTTAGTGAAATGTTTCATGTCTTTGTCCATCTTTTAGCTCAATTTTATTTAATGTTGAATACTGAGGGTTCTTCATTCAATGTATGAGTTCTTTGTCAGGTATTTTCTCCTATCTACACTGTCTCTTTACCTACTTAATAGGATCTTTTGCAGAGCAAATGTTTTGAGTTTTGAGGAAGCCAGTTAATTGATTTTTATATATCAAGTTTTTAGTATCATGCTAAGAACTCTTTACTAAACCCTAAGGTCTAGAAGATTTTCTTAATGTTGTCTTCTTAAAGCTTTATAGTTAAGTTTTACATTTAAATCTATTATCTAATTTAGTTACTTTTGTATCATATGAAATTGAATAATTGAAAAATCAAATATGGGAAGGAAAACTCAATTTCATGAGAGTAAAAATCATTAAAATACTAAGACTATAATTTATAACATTAAGTGATAAGAAATTGAATAGCAAGGATTTCAGTATTACAAATGCTTTAGAATCAAAATATGTAGAGTCAATAAGTACAAAAGTAATATCAAAATACTATAATGCCAAGACAAGATCTCTTACCTACATATTGACTCAGGGCCTGAACAACATTTGTAGCAGCAGCATAGATGCCTGGATTCTTGGAATTCAGATTGTTATCTACTATTGCTGGAATGAGCATGTTAATTATAGGAGATAAGTTATCTCTAAGCAAAGGGATCATTTTGTGCATTGTTTCTAGAGCCACCAGATTTACTTTACTATTGGAATCATGAAGTCGAGATTTAAAAGCATCAAAGATCTGAAAATAAATTGATAAATTATGTAAGTTAAATATTAATAGCTATTACATTTAAATTCCTTTCAGCATTTCATATTTACCTTTAGTAAGAGCATTTCTCCTACTTCAGTATATTGTTTAAAAACACATACACACACGTCTTACTATACCTGAACTTAACAGGAACGTCATAAAAATTTAGATGCTAAATCTAAGCGCCAAATTTTCCCACAACAAAAAGAGAAAGATTAAAAAAAAAAACAACAACACCCTAATGAATTAAGTTTGAGGAATTTGGATCATCCCTTGGTTAACTGATTTACTGAAATGTGACAAAAATGCTGTTTTTTTGGAAGTTGCAAGTTAGCTTAGCTAATCTAAGAATTTAGGAAAGATTTATTTATAGCAGAAGTTGACAGGTTGTTTTATAGTACAGAGATTTGACTTCATCTCAGTTTAAGTTTCTCATGAAATTTTAGATGAAATAATACAAGTTTCAATTTGTATTATTACTTTTCAGCATGATTATTTTAACAATTACTTCTTGCCCCTTTAGAATCCTTGACTTTCACAGATATACTAAAGCAAAAGCTAAGCAATTCTTTAGTCACATCAGGTAATCCCTGAGGGCTGGGACTTTTAGCTAATACATATAGCAGTTATATATGTACACAGATACAAATATGTAGCTATCTATATGTATAAACAGACATGTAGAAATATATATAACTGATACAATTAATATTTTCCATGTTAAGAATAGTCTTCCCAAGAGGTTAGTTGGTATTTAATAGACGTCAAAGATGTAACTTTCTTTTTACAGAAAATGGTAATGTGCTACTTTTTCTTCTTAAAATTAAGAGAACATCAGTAGAATTTAGAGTAGTTAGATTATGTTTGCCAAGTTCAATACACGCAGTATAAATTTAAAATGGAATTTAATAAATCAATAATGGAATTAATCAAATTAAATTCTACTGAGATAGATCCTATGCACTGCTACTACTAACATAGATTCACATACATACAAATTTCTAACCTACATATAAAAAGTTCAATATCAATTTCAAAGTAAGGTCAGGTTTTTTAAATTCCCTGGTTTTTAAAATATTTATTGACTCACTCAACATTGTGTTTCCTGAATGCCAGGTTACCAGCACTTGGAGAATGCAGTATTTTCAAGGAGCTACCATTTAGTGGGATGATTCAGACAATTAATTGGCGGTTTTCTTAATTTTCCCCCAAATATTTTGATTTCTCTGGAATGCTTTTATTATAGCAAAACCTTATTAAGCCATTATTTTTACTAAGTATATTTTAACACTTTAAAATCATATATATAAAGTACTAAGATGCAGGGATTTTATTAATGCTAATTAACTGTATTAGTCATAGACTGAAAAAGAAAATTACCTTCACAATGTTTCCAATAACAAGTTCTTGATTGTTTTCAGTGTCTGATAAAAGTTGCTTAATCCCATTAATACGATCACGAAAATCCTTTGCATTTAATAAACCTGTTATGGCTTTAATGTACTCAGCACTTTCTAAGGAATTACGGGGAAATGGTTTACGGGTGACTTCACGTATTTCAGTTACCTCTCTAAGGTGAATGAAAAACAAATATAATTTCACATTGACTTCTGTTAAAAATAAAATATAATAATTATCAATATACATTCTTTTTTTTCCAAAAAATTATATAAACCATAACCACAAAATCTCTTGTTGGGAGCCCCTGTGATTGTTGATCAACTTGGACTTATAGGGTTCAGCATGCAGTTTCACTAAAATTATGAAAGCAGAGGAATACAAAGTCAGCAAAGAGAAAAAGGTACACAGAGCTATTCTTGAGGAAAACAGAGGCAAGTTTTCAAAAGGCTTTGTTGCATATGTCAAGCAGAACACAACTCCTCCAGCAAAAAATTGGCAATACATCTGAATTGTCTACCAATGAAGCTTATTAGATGGTCCATGCCCAGATTCTACTGAGAACTAGCCAAGTAGGGATTCTTTGCCTAAGATCACCAAAATTCCAGATTCTAGAAGTAAAGCAAGGCTTCATCCAAAAGTATATAGCTTGACCAAATAATTTAGGTACAGTAAACTACCCTTACAAATTAGGGATTGGTGGGAATGCTTCTAGTTCCCAGATGCCAGTCAAGTGCTAACTTTGCAAGCAGAACTTTCTGAAGCAGAAGCCCTCTCTGTTAACTCTCTCCCCACCCTCCCACCCCCTTTAACTCTCCCTCCATTTTAAGGTTAAAATGTATCAAAGGCTTCATTTTCTTTTTTAAAATTGTAACTGAAACTTTTAAAAATTGTAAATGGGATCATTTTCTTAATTTCATTCTCTTCTTGCTTGCACATAGGAATGCAACTAACTTCAAACTATATCACAGTTAATAGCCAAGTATTGGAGTAAAACTAAACACAAATCAATGAAATTGAATTAAGAACCCAGAAACAAGCCCACATTTATGAGGACAGTTAATTTATGGCTACCAAGAGACTTACAAAGAATGAAACTAGGAGACTGAGATGTTACACAAAGTTACTTTAAAATGGATCAAAGGTTAAGACCTGAAATCATAAAATGCACAGAAGAAAACAGGCAAAATAGTCTGAGACATTTGTTTTAATAATGTCTTTGGGTATTTGACTACTATGATGAAGGAAACAAAAGCAAAAGTTAACAAGCGGGACTTCATTAAACTAACAACCTTCAGCACAGCAAAAGAAATCATTAAAACAAAAACTTACTTATGGAGTAGGAGAAAATATTTGTATATCATACACCTGACAAGGGACTAGTATCCAAACTCTAAAAAGAACTCAATTAATTCAACAAAAGAAAATAAGCCAATCAAAATATGGGTATAAGAGTTAAGTAGACATTCGTCCAAAGACATACAGATGGCCAACAGGTAACCTGAGGAAATGCTCATTATTAATTATCATTAGGGAAATGCACATCAAATGCACATCATACCCATATCATACCCATGGGAATAAACTATATCAAAGACCAGAAACAACAACTGTTGGCAAAATTTTCTGTGGAGAAAAGGTACATTGTTAGTGGTAATGTAGACTAGTTCAACTTTTTATTTTTAATTATTTATGCACACAGAAACTGGGATGTAGGCCAGAGGTGCGGGTGATGGGGTGAAAGGATTCACCTGAGATAGAGTGGGAACATAATAGGTAGACTCACTGAAATACACTGCTGAGGGGAGCAGTGGACAATACAGGAAAGATCTGCTGTGCCGTGGGGGTGGCAGGTCAGCTCCCTTGCTGGAATGGAATTAAGGCTGCAGTGGTGACAGCATTGAGACTTAACCACAAAGCCACCAGGGGAGACCCATTCTAGTACAACTTCTATCGAAAACAGCATAGAGGTTTCTCAAAACAATAAAAATTGACCTATCATATGATTCTGCAACCTCACTTCCAGATATCTACCCTCAATAATGTACATGCACTAATCTGAAAGAATATATGTACTCTTATGTTCATTGAAGGTACTATAGAAACAATCTAAGAGCCAATGACAGATGACTGAATTAGGATGTGGTATATATACACAATGGAACATCACTCAGCTATTAAAAAAAGATGTCATTTGTGACAACCTGGATGGAACTGGAGTAGATTATGTTAAGCAAAATAAGTCAGGAGGAAATAAGGTTACCAGAAGGGAAGCTGAGAAGATCAGAAGCAAGGGATACGGGGGACCAATGGACTATATGATTTGGGGGTGATAATGATATAATACACATTTTAAGAGGTATGAACCTGTACCCCTAAAACATACCATGTTGTAAAATCAATAAAAATAAATTAAAGCTTTAAATATCTAAAAATATATTGGATATATCACTTAATACCTTTTAAAAGAGATTTACAAATTGTATAATCAATTTTTAAATGCTGAAATGTTGTTTAAGTAGATTATAGAACTGATATACAATTATATTTACAAAAATATTTTAGTTATTTACTGGTTGGTGGTATTAAGGGTGATTGATCTACTCTTCATATTTGCGTTTTCTAAATTGTTATGTCCTTTAACCACATTATCTATTACTTTTATAGTAAAGGGGGAAAAGTAACAGTTGTAAACTGAAAAAACAAAAACAGTAGCAACAAAAAAGAAAATTAGTTAGAGCTATCCAAAACCAGCCCTAATGTTGATAATTTCAATAACACAAAAGCTTTACTAATGTCTAGTGCATGTTGAAGCAAGGTTTTTGTGACTATATAATTGCCCTGTTAAAACCAATTAACTCACATTAAATTTGATAAACACTCCTGAGATAGTTAATAAAAACATATAAATGAGAATGTTATCACTAGAGAGTAATTTCCCTAAGGATGTGGAATATTCTACCTTTCAGATGAATTGAAAGCATCTCTAGAAATGGATGATGACCTTGTATTTCCAACACTGCCAGTATGAGATCGTCTTCCTTTTGCTGAAGGAGTATCTAGCGGTATCTCCCCCAAACCCTATGCATAAGTACAAAAAAAGGAAATGTAGAAAAGTCTTAAAACTAGTAAAGTCAAATAAATTATTCAATGTAATTTTCATAGCTGTTATTATTGATTTTTTAAAAAGATTCATTTATTCGTAAAAAAATGGGTGTAGGCCAGAAGTGTGGCAGTGAGGGATTTACCAGAGACAGAGTCAGGAGCAGAATTGTCAGACTGAAATATACTGCTGAGAGGAGCAGTAGACAAGACAGGAGAGGTATGCTGCACTATGTGGGTCAGTACACCACAGTGGCTATGGACAGTTTCATAGTACTGAGACTTAACCCCCTGTGCCACCAAGGAGGCCCTATATAGTAAGTTTTATATGAACCATTAAAAATATGAGTTAAGCTGAAATTTTTAAGAAAAACAGGTAAAAAAAATGGCCTAAAATATGTATTTCTATACATCTTTGAAATATTATTCCTTAGCCCAAGGCTATCAAAGGAAGGAAATAAATTAGCACAGAAAAATTCAACATTAATAAATATAATTTTGCAAACAATTTACAAATGGTTTACTTTTTTGTAAAACACTTTTCATATTTTATTTCACTTAGTATACCCTCAGTCACTCATCTTGTAGAACCACTGCCTCTCCATTATATAATAGAATTAATGGGACAAGGGGTTCCACTCAAGGAGCTCCCTTATCAATGCTCTGCAGTGTGGTAGAAGCTCTGACAACGGAACATACAAGATAAATCAAACAGGGACCAACTGAATTAAACATCATTACTGCCACTTTATAAAAATAAAAATATTGATTACTGAAAGGAGGTGCCTAAAATTATACAGTTGCTAATTCTCAGAGCTGTGATTCAAAGCTAAGTTTCTTTAATAAACATTCACCGGCATTATGAGTATCTGCTTAGTACTGGTCATTGAAATATTATTATAGATGTAATCTGAATCATTAACAGAAATAATTGGAGAGTATTTCAATCCTTTATCTTCCTGGACTGTTTTTTAAACAATATTTATTTAATAAAAATTTATTTGTTTATTTAATAAACATTTCGACATACCTTTTGCCGTAAGTTTTTAACAGATTCCTTAATATATGGCAAATCTTTAGATGGGACATATTTTTCAAGCATTTTATCAAAGTTATTATGACACATCATGAGGAAAAGCATCTTCCGTCCATAATACCTATGGAGATTTAAAAACCATAAATCATTTTACATAATCTGTTTGGTTCTTTCTTTTTATTTGTTTTTAAAAATTTATTTATGCATACAAGACCTGAGGTCTAGGCCAGAGGTGCGGGGTGAGAGAGGATTCACCAGAGACAGAGTGGATGATTTTAGGTAGGAAAAAATAGATTTTTGAAATATTAGAACCCAGGTAGCACAATAAGCCTACTACTTACATACACTGAAAATACACTGAATTTCAGTGGATCTACTGAAATACACTTTTGAGGGGAGCAGTGGGTGAGACAGGAGAGGTCTGCTGCATCATGTGGGTCAGCTTCTTGGCCAGGGAATATAAAACATGCCACAGTGGCTGGTAATAGCTTGATAGTAACTGAGCTCTTATTAAACCCTGTGCCACCGGGGAGGTCCCTCTTTCTTTTTTTTTTATTGAATTTTACATATCTTAGATTTTGTTCTTAGGTGCAGTTTTATTTTCAGTAGTAAGAAATCCATCAATAGAATACAATCCCTATTTTAAGTAAGTCATTGGAAATGTAGTATATGAATGGACTGGAGAGTATAGCGTTCTCCTGCCCGCCTCCACATAACCTATGTTGAAAAAACACTATAGTTTCAAATCTTTCAGCTTTATGTCAGATAGAAAACCAAATTCTTTAATTCTTTTTCTGGAATCCTAAAGCCCATACCAATCTGGGATTTCTCAAAATATGTGTTAGAAGTCTGTGTTTGTCATGGGTTCCTTGCTCAGTGACCTTTTTTGTTGCTCACCTGTTGGCCACCTGTTGGCTGAGCTAACTTTTCCTAGATTCTGTATTTCTGATCCTCTTTTTTTTTTTGCTACCGAAAACTTACCTGGGTTCTAATATTTCAAAAATCTATTTTCTCCTACCTAAAACCATCCAAGTTAGTTGAAAAATCATGATTGATAGATTAATGAATATGTAAGAGTTTCCAACTAGTTTTTTTATGCATATTTTGAAAGAATTCTGTTAATATTTTAAATCAAGATATTTTAATGGAAGAACCTCACATATCAGACAAGTATATATTGGAGGTATATTTGCATAGAAGAGTCTTAGAATATTTCAAGATCATATTATTCTTCTTCAAAAAGGTCCTAAAATAAATACTTTTGCCTACAACTTGGAATATATAGGGCTAGAATCATAGAAGGCAAGGCTTTTGTGGGGTAGGGGGAGAGAATAATCTCAGAATGATCTTTATCAACCACACTATTTCAAATATAATGAAATTACAGAGTTAATAACAGAGAATAAAAATTTTTCTCTGCCTACAAGTTAAAAAAAGTCATACATGCAAATTCACAGCTCCTAGTCAGTCAGCATTTCAAAGGCAGTTCTAACTTTAGTTCAGAATTGTTAAGGAGTATACATCTACCATATAGCCCAGTGACATGGGAATTGCTAAGCAAGCAAGCAATAAAGATACAAATGTAAAACATTAAAACTGGAAAGCTATAACCATTCTACAATTTTAAAACTTCAAATAAGAATTTGAGAAATGACAAAATAGTTCAGAAGAATTACTATGTCATTCAGAAAATTTTTAAATGTACACTAAGCAACATGATGCATCCTTTCTTGTTCCTAACTAATCTATACTCCAAAACTACTAAATTTTTTGGAACTTTACTGTGTTACACAGAACTTCTAAACTGCTTCCCCAAGATATTCTGCTCCAGTCCCTACAATTTATGAATATGATGAAATATAACTTCTAGGATTATGCTGTTTATTACAATTGACTTTTAAGATAAGAAAATTAGCTGGGTGGACCTAATCTAATTATAGGATGCCTGAAAACAAAGTGTTTCCTGTGAGTAGCAGCATAAGAATGTCAGAGATAACCTAAGCATGAAAGTGAGTTGACATACTATTGCTGGCTTGAAGATGGAGAGGTCTGTTTGGAAAGAATGTGAGTGGCCTAAAGAAGTTGAGCAGATCCTGGCTCAAAGACAGCAAGGAACAGGGGCCCTCAGTCATCCTGCCACTGAATGAACCAAAAGAACTGAATCCAGATAACATTTAAATGATTTTGGAAACAGATTCTTCAACAGAATTTCTAGATAAGAACCCAGCACTATCATCACCTTGATTTCAGCCTTGTGAGATCCTCCAACCCAGATGGGTCTAATGTAATGAATGATAAGCTAAAAAATTAGTGATGCCTTAAGTCGGTGTTTGTAGAAACTGGGTGTTAATCAATTGATAGTGAATATATTTACTTTCTCTATTAGCTTTTAGTATAATGACTTCCACAAGATTAACTTCAGTTAAGTGATAGCTATCTTAAAGTGTTAAAAAGTTGCTATCTTCCTTGGCTTTAATCTCTATGAACTCAGGGTCCTTTCTGTCATCATTAAATCTCACAATTAACTGCTATAAATCTTAGATTTTATTTGAGTCAGTATCAATTACCTAGTCCAACCTCCCTAATTTGAATGATGAGGAAACAGGCTAACAGAGATTAAGTAAACTGCTACAGGCAGTGACTGGGATCAGATATTGACATAGGATTCTGACTATGTCCTAGTTTCCTATCACCACTACAGTTCTCTATTACTCACATCTTAAACTATTAGGTTGTCTTTCTCTAAATCTTTTTATCCTTTATGAAACTGTTCTTCAAGTTTGGTAATCAGATATTTGTTTTTTTCAAGTGATAAAATGATGCTATCCATTTTGCTGCCTGTGTCTCTTCATATTCATTTAGTTCTTTGATTTTACCTGACTGCTTAGAAAACATGTCATTTCCCCCTTAAATGCTCACATTTGCCCACAATGAAATCCTTTTTCATTTTTCTGCCTAGTAATATATCGTCTTATGCTATTTTCATGCTCTTCATTCCTGTGACATGGCATCTCCCTGCCCAGAAGATTGAAGTGTCATCAGCAAATCAGATGAATTCACTATACACTCCCTTGAGAGCATTTACAAATTGGTCGATTAGATCATGTCCCAGTACCAATCCCTGGAACTCCATTTTTCTATTTAGAAAGAAGTTCATTCTTCTTTAAGCTTTGTTTCTGATTTTTAAGCCCTTTACTAAGAGATTCAGCAAACATTACTGAGCAACTACTCACCTGGTTTCCTGTGAGCTGTCCTGAGCAAACTTAGCAGCAGCTGGTAATATACGATCAGCCATATCCTTTGTTCCAGCTAAAATACGCTCTGGTTCCATAAACTCCACCACATCTGATAAGTGCTGAGCTGTACATTTTCTTACTGCAATGTGTAAATGACTACAAGGAAAACATAGGCAATAATAACAAAGTTGATATATGAACTATTTTCCAAAAATCTACTTTTAAAGCTGTGATTAAACTATGCAACAATCATCTTTCAAGGTAAAAATGACAAATTATTTTCATTAGCTACTCTTCCCTTATAAGTTAAAAAAAGAAAGTAAAGATCATAATCATTGACATTTATTTCATTTCAGATCTGTGAATGAATTATTAGATTAATATTATTCTTTGCATGCTCAGCATCTATTAATACCAAATGGGAATTACTTAACTTTTTAAACTGAATAGTGAAATATGCTTGCTCCTTTTTACAGTCTAGACTGCAAACAATTAAACTTTTAGTTTAAGGATATATCAAGATTATTTTCAACATTACCTTTGTCCTCCTTTGATAAGAGAAACAACTGCACGAGCTGGAGTTACATTATTCACCATAGCTCGCAGTGCTCTGTCAACATCTTCTCTTATAAATGTATTCGATTCTCCAGCCTTGTGTAATAAAACTTTTACTGTGGTATCTAGTTCTTGATCCATACTCTTTTTCAGGTAAGTGAAAAGATCACTTAAACAGACAACAGCAGCACGAGAAACTCCAGAGCGTAAATTTTTAACCTACAAAAATTTAAAAATGTATATTTTGCTGATATTCTGAAAGAAAATCACCAATAATGACTCTGAAAGCAAACTTACTAGAAAGTAATATGTTTTAGGTCTGAAAAATCAACATTCAATGTTTTTTTAAATGTGAAATAAAGCTTGCGCACCTTTACCTATAACTTAACAGTTTTCTTTCAAATGCTAAATAACTGTAGCTCTTTTTGTTTTCATTCAAATAATCTTTGACTCAGTTAAAAAATAAGTTTACCTCTTGAACTACTGCAAAATTTGTTTCATGCAACTTTGTGTTCAATATTTCAGAATGAAAAGCAGCTAAGCATCTAATAAAATTCAGCCCCTCAATTTTCTTCTCCCTGTAAGAAAAAGAAACAAATGACAAAATCAGTTTTTAGTGGGGCTTGTCTGGGATAGGATCTCAGCTGCCTTCATTAGTGTGTATGTTATATGGCCTGCGAGGAGACACTGCTTGTTTTCCCTTAATGTAGTAGTTGAAGAAAAGGTATTTAATGTTCTGTTTGCTCTTTCATGGTTCAAAAGATCTTTTTTTAAGATGTTTTTGCATTCATTATTTTTCTTTCTTTCTTTTTTTTTTTAGATTTATTTATTTATTTAGACATACAGAACTGAGGTACAGGCCAGAGGTGCAGGGCTGGTGAGAGGATTCACCAGAGACAGAGTAGGGAGCAGAACAGGCAGAGTGATGAAGTACACTACTGAGGGGAGCAGCGGGTGGGCAGGTCAGGAGAGGTCTGCCGTGCCATGTGGATCACCTCCAGGACTGGGGATCGAACTCGCACTGAAGCGGCTGCATCTCGCTTGCAGTGCTGCATCCTAATCTGTTGCACCATCAGGAAGGCCCTCAAAAGATCTAAGAATCAAAAAGAATACTGAAAGTCAAATTACTTTAATTTTTAGTAAACATAAGGGGCCATTTGTCCTTTAGTAAGAATGTCATATTCTTTCTAAAGAGCAGAAAGGAGAGGACTGGCAAAGAAAAGGTGGGAGAAGTAAATCAAACATAGATGGAAAACATGTTACCATGTTGGTGAGTATATAACCAAGAACAGAAAACCAGTAAGTGGTTCTGCAACTTGGAATTCTTTTCCATTATTTGAACTAAAAATAGAGGAAGGCTGAGGTGTTAGAGCTGGATACTAATAGCAAGAGGGTGGCATTTATGTGGGATGCAGATAAAACATCTCAAAATCATGTTGGTGTTTGACAAATGTGAGGCAAGATGAGTTTCTTTAGTTGGTAATATTAATGGTGTTTTTTCTTTTTCTTTCAATTTATTTTTTTCAACATTCTTCACATTTTTTCATCTCAGTTGTAGTCCCCGTGGACTTCATCATCAATTTACCCATGTGCCATCTCTATAGTCCTGTGTACTCTTCCCACCCTAGTTTTGATCCCATTCCTCTTTCCACGCCCATAAAATATGTAATTTATAGCTATTCGTTGCTTTTCATTTTTACTTTATTACAATTGCCTTTTTATTTTATGTATCCCTTAGTTTCCTGCTATGAGTAAAACCATTGGGTATTTTTCTTTTTCCTTCTGGCTTATTTCACTAAGCATGATCCTTTCCAGCTCCATCCATTTTACTGCAAAAGGCATGAGTTTATCTTTTTTTGATTGCTGAGTAATATTCCATTGTGTATATGTACATCTTCCAGTCATCTATTTTGGGGTATATGGGTTGATTCCACATCTTCCCTATTGTAAATAGAGCAGCAGCATATATAGGGGTACTGATGTCCTTTTGAATCAATGTTTTTGTGTCCTTTGGGTAGATACCTAGGAGTGGGATTGCAGGGTCATATGGAAGCTCCATTTTTAGTATTTTGAGAAACCCCCAAAACTATAGTGGTTGTACCAGTTTGCATTTCCACCAGCAGTGCAGGAGTATTACTTTTTCTCCACATCCTTGCCAACATTTGCTGTTGCTAGTTGTTTTAATATGTATCATTCTCACTGGTGTGAGATGGTAGCTCATTGTGGTTTTAATCTGCATCTCCCTTATTACAAGTGATGTTGAATATTTTTTCATATGCCTGATGGTCGTCTGCATTTCCTCTTTGGAGAAGTATCTCTATAGCTCTTTTGCCCATTTTTTGATGGGCTTGTTCACTTCATTTTTGTTGAGTTCGTCAGCTCTTTGTATAACTTTATGATCAGTCCTTGTCATTACTGTGTGCGAGTATTTTCTCTCAATCAGTAGAGTGTCTATTTGTTTTGTGTAATGTCTCTTTGTTGTGTAGTTCTTTAAAACTTGCTGTAGTCCCACTGTTTATCCTTTCCTTCACTATCCTTGCTTTGGGTGATTTATCTTTTAAGATGTCACTGAGGTGTGTGTCGTATAGTGTTTCGCCCAACTTTTTCTTCTAGATATTTTATGGTTTCAGGGCTTATGTCTAGTTCTTTAATCCATTCGAGCTGGTTTTGTGCACGGTGTGAAGTAGTAATCTGGCTTCATTTTTTTTTGCATGTAGCAGCCCAGTTTGCCCAGCACTTAATGGTGGCTTTTTAAAAGCATTTAAATCCCTTGAATGTTACAGGAAATAGATAATAATTATCATGCTGGCAAGGGAAATTTATTGACTAGTTGTTTGTCTCAAAATTTTCAGCTTTTGAATACCATATAAGTTTACAGTTAAGTTGGGTTTTCAGAAAAGTCATGACATGTTTTTTCTTTGAAAAACATAAAAAAATGCATCATGAGTTTTCTGAAAATCCAATGTAATTTAGATGTGAAAATAATCCAATTCTATACCCATAAAAGTAAATAACAAAGTGGAATTAAGGAGAGGGTATAAGAAATAGAAATCATGGCTAAAATTTTTCTAAATTTGATCAAGACAATACTCAGATAACACCCAAAAGAATAAAAAAAGAAATGCTTCAGGCAAAAGAAAACAATATCAAAAGGAACTCAGGTCTACAAAAAAGCATAAAGAACAATGGAAATAGTAAATATATAGGTAAATAGAACAGAAAAAATATTTTTGAGAAATAACTGACTTCAAAGAGAAAAAATGTTGTGGCACATATAACATATAGAAGTGAAATATATGATAAGCATAAAGGACAGGGGTAAAGTAACCTACTATTATAATGTTTTTGCATTATATGTGAAATGGTAAAATAATATTTGAAGCTAGGGTAATTGTTAAAGTTCCAACTATTATTGTAAACTTGTTTTTTCTCCTTGCAGTCTACAGTTGCTACACTGAAAGCTCTGCTATATGTAACTGAATGTACAAGATTGCTATGTCCTCTTGATGAATTAACCCTTTTGTCATCCTAATCTGAAGAAAGAACTGTAAGGGCACCAGTTAATTCCTGCCCCCTAGTGTACAACAGTAACTTCTCCTTGAGAATGAGGGCAGTAAATCACTTCTTTAATTATGTTACATAATATGGCAAAAGAGATTTGCAAGTTGTTCTATGAAGCAGATTCTTTTTGCAAGTCTTTCCTTTAGTTTCTTTAACACGTGAAAAATCATGATTATAGTTATAATGTCCTTGTCTATTCATTCTATCACCTGTGAAGTTTTTTGCTTGGTTTTAATTGAGTTTTTCCTTTCTCATTATCTGTGGTATTTTCCTGCTTTTTTGCATTCCTGGTAACTTCTTTTTTTAAAATATTTTATTTATGTATACAAAAACTGGGTGTAGGCCAGAAGTATATGTTTGTGTGGGGGGTAGGAGTAAGGGTGGTGGTTGTGAGAGGATTCACCAAAGTGAGGAGCAGAACAGGCAGATCTACTGAAATACAACACTGAGGGGAGCAGCTAATAGACAGGAAAGTTTCTATTGGGCCATGCTCCCTGGCCTGTGGATGGAACTCATGTTACAGTGGCTGGTGATAGCTTGATAATGTTGACACTTTAACCCCTGCACCACCAGAGAAACCCATGCTTGGTAATTTTTTATTGGAGTTGGGCATTATGCGTTTTACATTATATTCTAATGTCTTATAAATATTTCTAAGCTTTGTTTTGGAGTGTAGCCATTTGGTAAGTTTGATTCTTCTAGGTCTTGCTTTTAAGTTTTGTTAGGTAGCACCAAACTTTTCTTTAGCTTAGTATTTAATTTCCCACAATATGAAGCAAAACTCTTTTGTGTATCTCACCCATGCCCTGTCAATTATGAGATTTTCCATTCTGCTGGTAGGAATAGGAAGTTCTTGGTTTAGTGTATGCTCCAGGGATTATTTTCTGTATCTTTGAGTGGTTTTCATTCTGATTTCCGATAATTTATTCACTTGCATGCCCTAAGTGGTGTTCAGCTAGCCATTTAAAGAGTCCTCTGAAGGCTTCTGGAGTTCTTTTAGAGAATTCTCTCTGGCACCCTATATTGCAAACTCTAGGTACTTCACTTTCCCAAAATCTCAAATCTATCATCTTTTCTGTTATCTATATGATGTTACCATCTTTGAGTTGTGATCTACAAGAGAGCCCCCTTGGGCTTATTTATTTACTGTAGCTCACTATCTTCAATTGCTTAAGGAAAAATACCTTGAAAACCAGTAATTCATTTATATTATATGATCTTTTTATTATTTTCGATGTGAAGGCCATTCTAATGTCTGTTAATCCATCTTGGCTGGAAGTAGACTATCAAGAGTTCTTTTTTGACATTTTAACTTTAAGGTGTCTACTGGTTTCCAAAGTAGAAATGTTAACTAGGCAGATTATAAAACTGGAGTTTAAGAAGATACCAAAGAATTCCCAGCCCACTGGGCACGCAGTGGATATGTCAGCTGAGGCAAATCATTGTCTTTGTTTCTTTTGAGTTACTGGCTGGGCATGCTAGGTGGCTGCTGTAGCTATGATGTTATAAACAGATAAGTATATCCAAGACTGATACAGAAAGTCTTTTCAGAGAAACCCTTGGAGAAATGGTAAAATTTATATTTCAATAACTAAAAGTCTGAAAAATCTATGATAAAGCAAAAACAATTTCCTTATGGTATGTAAGTTAGACTATGATAATATACTAACTTAGAGTCTGAGTATAGTACATTAACAATTAAAAAAAAAAACTCAGGCTACCTCATAACTAAAGTAATCACTTATACAACTTTTAATAGAGAATGTTTCAAGGTTCTAATAAAATATTTACAGAAAAATCTTGCAACTCAGCCTACTTTAAAGTTAGGTAAGACAAACTTACCAATCTTCATCAGCTAAAAGCTTCAGGGCTTCTGTCAGTGCTATTTCTGGTTTGGAAAATGGCCGTAGTTCTGACAAATCCATTATTTCTGGACTATGAGTGACAGAAGGCATTCTTTCTTTATACTGTGGAAGATCTCCAGGAGATGCTTCGCCTAAAACAAAAATATTTATTAAAACATTGGAGAACTTTGATATACAGGGATACAAAACATATACTGATGAAAGTTTATAAATATGTATTTTTAATGCAGTAGATCACTGATTTATTATTACTAAGGTCACCAAAGGATACAAATAAACTGATTTAATAGGGTGGGTTGGGGAAAATCACTAAACTCCCATGAGCTCTCCAAGTGTACCATTCTACCCAAATGTCACATGTTTACCAATTTGGAAGCCCTTTCTATGATTATTTCTGACAGAAACTAGTACTACTGGCTTAGTCTCCAACAAAACTATAATGATTAGATAGCAATGCCATTTAAAACTTCACTTTTGGATACAAAATTACTAAATTACATTTAGTACAATGTAAGTGATTTTATTTTAGTCATGAATCATAAAGTCCAGCTTTAAAAGCTGAAAGTCCATAAGAAGCACTGATTCCATTTTGTAAAAATATGGGTATCGGTCTGTTATACATAACAGAGATCTGAAAATGAAGTTTCATGGTACCTTGGTATATAAAATTCTAAAAGCACTTATTTTTGTTACTGGTATAGAACTAATGGTCTATCACAAACCTAAGACCATGAATAGTAATAAGTGCAATGTTTCTTCTCCACAAACATTTATCAACCACTGACTAGATATTGAGGAAATACATCATCATTGTATGCTAATGGATTTACTTGAGGGGACTACAAAAATGCAAGGTATATGCAGTGGAGTTATGAGAAAAGAAAAGATGAAATAAAATGCATTATAACTTTTGTAAATGGCCCATTTTACAAGTCCAGGACTGTTTTTAAAAAGGGAATATTAGGTACTAGAAAATGCATAGAGATAAAAGTACTTACAAGCTATACTGTTTTCAAGAAAATGTTACATGAAATACATGAAAAACATAAGGAAATTTCACTTGATGATGTATACCAGTTACAAACCCAAATGCATTTTAAAACCAAAGTCTAAAAGGGAGGAAAAACAATCATTCAATTTCCTTTTAATAATAAAGAATTCATATTTATTATAAAAGGAGATACTAGGTCCTCCTGAAAATTTTAGTGGTATAGATCAACATATTCCTCCACTATTAGTCATATATCACTCTCAGTTGTCACAATACACTACATTTACGAATATTACTAGTTAAAAAAATACACTAAAAGTTAGATTCCATTTACTTTCTGTTATTTTCTCAGTTCCTGTGTGTTTTGTTCGTTCCCAGGGATTCTGTTCCTTCTTTTCGCAGTCTTTAATGTCAAAAAGTTCTTTTTCCTCTTTTCTCTTTTGTTTCATCTTGTCATAAGTAGATTTTGAGATAGAAACTTTAATCTGCATGAAAAAAATTGAAAAATCTGAAAGTTATAAGGGTGTTTGAGATTGAAAATATCTTGAGATTTAAAATATCTTTTTTTTTTAAAGATTCATTTTATTTATTTATGCATATAAGAACTTGCTGTAGGCCAGAGGTGCAGGGGAGGGGTAAGAAGATTTATCAGACGATGGGGAGCAGAACAGGTGGATCAAATGAAACACACTGCTGAGGGCAACAGCAGGCAAGACAGGAGAGGTTTGTTGTAGCATGTGGATTAGCTCCCTGGCTAGGGATCGAATTCACGCAGCAGTGGCTGGTGATAGTTTGACAGCACTGAGACTTTAACCCCTGTGCCATAGGAAGACCTTAAAATAACTATCTTTATCTTAGACATATGTATATAAACATTAATATCTATAACAAAAAAATGAACCCCCCCATTTCTTAGTCCTTATTTCAGGAATTCTAAAACTGAATAGGTTACATAGTGCTAACACCCAGTGAAATTTGTAGCTGAGAATGTTAAGCATGTTATTCCTTGAGCGCATATTAGAAAATTATTGAAGAAATATGTATGCAATAGTCTATGCATATACAGTAAATGTTCAGTACAAAGTACAGTACATACTTTACACCAAAATAAAAACATATTTGGAGGAAAAGGAAAATAATCTATTACTTAAATGATTAAGAATCAGAAACTTCAACTATAATGAGATTAAAAAAATTAGCCAAAATGTCACCACCTCAAATTTGATACATATGAAACAACGACATATTGCAGGCTTAAATTTATCCTAGTAGCAAAAAAACCTTACATCTTTTCCATTCTCAACATCAAGATACGGTGGAATACTTTGCTGAACTGCTTTTCCATAAATCCCTGATGGTGGTTCAATACTTTGTTTAACTGAAACTGTATCCCCGTTTTCCACAGAAGGTATCACTGATTGGCTGCAAGTTGCCGGTGCTGAATTTGGGCTTCCAAATACACCTGAAAGCAACCAATTGTTGTCACTAAGTATTTCTGTTTTGGTAATCTAAATAGCAAAGTTTAAAAGCAACCTTTTGTTTTCAAGAAGCAAACGATAATATTAATAAGAAAAAATGTCTATCATAAAATAGATAAATATCTTAACATGACCACAATATGAGATATCAGAACATATCTCATGATAATATCAAAGAGAACAAGAACTGTGTATTGTAAGTGCTGCGTTCACAGGGAGTGGAGGTTGATGTGGCTGAGACTGGAAGACACAATGACTTGGAAAGACAAATGAGGAAGGAGAGGAGACATTCCCTGAAATGGGGAGGCTTCTAAGCAGAACTAAGCAAGTAAAAAGCATGTATGTAGGGTGAACAAAGTAGTTTGGTTGGCACAGGCAAACAGATGAATAACAGAAAGTATGCCTGCAAGATTAGTCTAGCATTAATGTGAAGGTGACCATAAATTAACTGAGTGAGACTACCTTGTACAGTTGTTAGAAAAGCTTTTCAAACATTTTATTTTACTTCACTCCATTCACCAAAATAAGATGTACATTCTCAATGTCCATCATTACATTCAGTTATCCCATTAAAAAGAAACTAAACTAAAAAGTTTAAACTAATTAAATTGTTAACCATTCTAAAATATCTTAGAAGTCCCCCTCAACTGAGTTGTTTCTCTCTGAATTATTAACACAAAATTAATCGTATCAATAGTATCACTAGAGGATAGAAAATTGGCGAAGTATTTACTTCTAAATCTCTTAAGGAACAGTTTTAAAAAAAAGTCTACTCAATATCTAATCACTCTCTATTCTTTATTGATACACTTTGCTTATATATGACACAGTAATATAATTAAACAGGCAATAATTCTGAATTACCTTTTCCAACAACTACTACTGAATCTTCTGTTAAATTATTTGTGGATGTGAAGTCAAAACTGGAAATCTGCTGTAAATTTGATGCTGACCCTGCAAATCCTAAAAAAAACAAAACCACATATTAAAAATACTCATTATATAGCACTTTAGGACATTGTAATATGTTCTTTAAAACTGAAAATTTATTTCATATAAGTAATTTATAATTTATTCATGTTAAGTTCAATAATTCAATAAATATTTATAACTAGATTAAGTATGACTAGGCCCTAAAAAGAAAATAAAATTTCCTTCCCTTAAGGAGTTTATATGTGCCAGGATTAAGAAAATGGAAAGAAGGCCCTCTCTGGTAGCACGAAGGGTTAAAGCACAACCTCATGAAGCTATCAGCAGCCACTGCACCATGAGTTCGATCCCTGGGCAAGGAAGTATCCCACATGGCACAGCAGACCTCTCCTTTCCTGCCTGCTGCTCCCATCAGCAGTATATTCACCATTGTGCCTGTTGTGTTTCCTACTCTGTTTCTGCTCACCCCCGCTCCTCTCTGGCCTGTACCCAAGTTCATGTATGCATAAATAAATAAATCCTTAAAAAAAAAAAGAATATGGGAGGAATACAAGAAAATAATCACAGTAACAGAAGGATCCTTGAAAAAAAAGCCTTTTCTCTCTGAAAAAAAGTAAATCTCACTGTAATCTATGCTTTTCTAGGATAACTTTTTAATCACTTTGTGATTATTTTATTACTCTCTTTCCTATTAGGTTGTAAACTCTTTGGGGATAGAATCTATCTCTTATTTTGACAATCATTTTTTTCCAAAGCCTTGTAGTGTAATGCTTGGCACCTAATAAAATAGGTATTCAATAAGTATGTTAGATGAATGTTACCAGCCAGAAAAATGAAAAGCAAAATAGAATTGACTTAGAAAGTAAGAAAGAAAAACGGTTAATTTCTGGTATTTTTAATAAAAAAATTTATAAAAATTAAGCAAATTGATTATTTTAGTAACTGCTAAAGCTTAGTTGTTTTGGCTATCTGTAAACATGATAGAGATTAAAGGAAGAAATCCATGTAGGTGTTCATTTTTCACATTTTCCTTCCTAAGTAAAGTTTGAAATAATCAACATCAATATACAAGCTTTATGGCTTAATGTATAATCTTATTAGCACATAGTAACTATTAGATGCATCAGGTAGCACCAAAAGATGTTCAGTGATAGGGCCTCCCTGGAGGCATTAGGGGTTAAGTCTCACCTCCACTGAAGCCTGAGTTTGGTTGAGAGCCAAGGAGCTGACAGACCTCTCCTTGTTCCCTTTAGCAGTGTATTTAAGTAGATCTGCTTGTTCTGCTCCCCACTCTGTCTCTGGTGAATCCTCTCACCCCCCTGCACCTCTGTACTACACCTCAGTTCTTACATGTGTAAATAAATAAATCTTTAAAAAAAACAAAAACAAAACAGGGCCCTCCCTGGAGGCACAATGGGTTAGGACTCAGCCCTGCAAGTGGAGTAGCAGCCGCTTAAGTGCCAGTACCATCCCTGCCCCAGAGGTGATCCACATGGCGGGGCAGACCTCTCCTGACTTGCCTGCTGCTCCCCTCAGCAGTGTACTCTGTCAATCTGCCTGTTCTGCTCCCCACTCTGTCTCTGTTGAATACTCTCGCTCCCTGCAATGCTGGCCTGTACCCCAGCTCTTTATTAATAAATAAATAAATCTTTAAAACAAAAACAGATGTTCAATGACAGAGGGAAGCAAATCTCAGTCAGAAAAACAATTTTTCAATAATAATTCACAAACAAAAATGGCAAGTGATTATTGGATAATAAAATAAATCTCATGATGAAATATATAAAAGACAGGTCATCTTCATGTTGTGGGGGTGGAGTGGGGAATGGGATCAAAAAGGGGGGGGGAAGGGAGGGAAATGCACGGGACTATGGTGGTGGCACAGGGGTGATTTGGTGATGGGAAACCTGCGGGGATTACAATCGAGATGGAAAAAAAAATGTGCAAAATGATGTAAAAATAAACTTTTGTAATAATTAAAAAAAAAAGACAGGTCATCTTTAAGTAGTTTAACTTCATTTATCAGAGCTGACATAATTCATCATTTTTATTGTTATTATTACTTTTTACACTATTTTCTTCAAGCAAAAAAAATGCTCAAGTCTCAAATTTAAAAACAGAGTAACACTATGTTTAATGATTCTTCACACATAACAAAAGATTCTTCATCTAATCTTTTGTTACTGCTGTATATTTCATTCAAATGAAAAAAGAAGCACCTAATCTAGTTGCTAACTATCTAGGTATTCATCATTAATAACTCAAGTTATTAGTTGGAGATCAGTTATTAAAAAGTCCAAGGTTTATTACAAAATGAATACATTCTTTTTTTTTTTTTAAAGATTTATTTATTCATATAGAGCTGGGGTACAGGCCAGAGATGCGGAGGGTGAGAGGATTCACCAGAGACAGAGAGGGGAGCAGAACTGGCAGGTCACTGAAGTACACTGCTGAGGGGAGCAGCGGGGGGTCAGGAGAGGTCTGCCACACCATGTGGTCTCCTCCAGGGCAGGCGGAAATCAAACTCAAGCGGAGGTGGCTTAAGCCTCTTAGTGCAATGCTTTAACCCGCTGCACCACCAGGGAGGGCCCATGAATACATTCATTTTGCCACTCATTGACCAATATTTCTCTTGGAAGTCTTTACTCTCTTCAGAATTATATTCAATAGTCACTTTAACTTCATTATTAGGGGATGCAATTTTGGAGAGACCATGCCCAAGGTCACACTGTTAGTTTTAGTTGGCTTGGCACCACAACATCCACTTAATAGAAGGCATTGTACACTACTATATACAAAGCATAATGGGGATATAAGGATGACCAATCTTTACTTTTAAACAGATAATAAATGAAGAATGACAAGTATGAAAGGGAGGGTAAGTCTGATTTTGAACATATTTATTTTTACTGACCAGGCTTACCTAGTATTTTGATTTATAGTTTTTTGTGAATTAATTTTCTGGACTAGAATTAACTAAGGGTCAAGAATATAGTGCTGTGATTCTGCTATTTAAAAAAGGATACTGGGCCCTCCCTGGTGGCGCAACAGGTTTAAGATGCAGTACTGCAAGCTGGCCGCAGCTGCTTCAGTGCAAGTTCGATCCCCGGCCCCTGAGGTGATCCACATGACATGGCAGACAAACTTGTGACCTGCCCGTTGCTCCCCTCAGCAGTGTACTTCAGTGACCTGCCTGTTCTGCTCCCCATTCTGGCTCTGGTGAAGCCTCTCACTGCCCCTGCACCTCTGGCTTGTAACCCAGTTCTGTATGAATAATTAAATCTTTTCTTTTTAAAAAGGATGCCATAAGTAGTAAATGAACATATTCAGCAGTTATTATAGACAATTAAAGAAACTGTAAAAATGTTGTGCTAGGGTTGTTTATTGCTGCTTTATTTACAATTGAAAAGACATGGAAATGATCCAAATGCCCAAAAGTAGATGACTGGATTAAAAAGATGTGGTACATATACATAATGGAATATTACTCAGCAACCAATGGAAAAAAAAATCCCTTTCGCAACAAGGATGGAGCTGGAAAAGATCATTCTTTTTTTTTTATGTAAAAGAGAATTTTATTACTTAAATAGAGTAAATATACTCAATTTTCTTTTTTACAAGTTTATTTTTACATCATTTTGTACATTTTTTTTTTCCATCTCAATTGTAATCCCCGTGGGGGTTTCCCATCACCAAGTCACCCGTGTGCCATCACCATAATCCCATGCATTTCCCTCCCCACCCCCCTGTTTTTGATCCCATTCCCCACTCCACCCCCGCAAAATGTCTCTGGTATATGGTTGCTCATTATTTTTGTTATTTTCTCACCTGGTCCATTATACTCCTGCTATGAGTGAAACCATCCGGTATTTTTCTTTCTCTTTCTGGCTTATTTCACTAAGCATCACCTTTCCAAGATCATGCTTAGTGAAATAAACCAGAAAGAAAAGGAAAAATATTGGATGGTTTCACTCATAGCAGGAGTATAAAGGACCAGGCAAGAAAATGATAATAACAATTAACAACTATATACCAGAGACATTTTACGGGGTTTTAATGGGGAATAGGATCAAAAACAGCAGGGGGAGGGAAGTGCACTGGACTATGGTGATGTCACACAGGTGATTTGGTGATGGAAAGCCCACCGAATTACAACTGAGATGGAAAAAGGCACAAAATGAGGTAAAAATAAACTATTGTATTATTAAAAGAAAAAAAAATCCTCAATACTTCAATTTGAAAAAAATAAACGTTATATTAGGGGTATGAGCTACTTTTAGGAAGTCTTTTTTTTTGTACTTAATTTTTCTTTACATGAGTGATAAATGAGTAAATGTGAAAAAAAAAAACCTCTATTCTTTTGCAAAAATGAGTGGCTGATATCTTCCACAAAGATAGTTATTGAATTACATTACAGCTTAAAGTTTAGGAGTTTAAGAAAAACAAGAAAAGAACTTCTAATAACATTTCCTACTACTCAATTTGGGTAATTTCTAAAAATTTACGTGTCCTTAAAATGCTTGCTACTTGCTCGTGTAGTAAATAGAATAATTAGAAATTTAACAATTTGATTTTAGTCACAGTTGCTACAAAAAAATATGACAAACTTCTTACGCTGACCAGTAGAGCACAATGCTTAAATACAGGTGACTTGTTGAAATTATTAGTCTATTTAAATATTTAAACCTTTCAAAATCACTTTCTAAACACTCTAAAGGAAATTTTTAAAATGCAGCTATAATAGGACTTCTGAAAAAAGAAAAAAGGGCAGCACTATTGATGTGCTGCTTGCTAGTAAGTTCAAAAAAGTGAAAATTGTTAATAATGGTTAGAGGTAACAAAGAAGCCTTCCTACGATGGTTCTTCCACAGGGAAATTTAAATGCTGCTGAACTTTTACTCCATGGTTACAACCTAAGTAGGCATCAGGGAGTCATTAACTCATCTGATTTCTTCAACCAATTTTAGTGGTAAAAAACGAGAGCGGGGGCCCTCCCTGGTGGCGCAGCGGGCTAAAGCACAGCACTAAGAAGCTTAAGCCACTTCCGCATGAGTTCGATTCCCGCCTGCCCTGGAGGAGATCCACAT